TTATTATAATCTAACAATGATCTTGCGTGATATAAAATATAGATATATTTTTAATCACAACCATTTTCAGAAGCATATTTAACTAAGACCATTTAAATAAAAATTGTAGCAATGTAGTTATTTAAGCTCGAACAAAATTATATGAAAAGTGATTTTCCCCACGTGCTATAATTGCACGTTTCATAATTACGCGAGATGATATATCATTAAATGTTGCATCTGATTTAGAAATGTATTTATTCACCGACGAATTGTAATAATAGAATGAAATAAATATAATATAAACAATTGTGGATTTTGTTCACACAAAGCCCATGGTAATTTTACGACGGAAACCTATGTGAGGCACCTCGCACGCCCTCCAATTTTGTTATCCCCATTAAAATGCAACTGGAGGCACGTAACTCGCTTTTGCACGTAACGAACATTTGTGGCTACTCTGTGGTCTCGATACACTGCTTGGTGCAAAACTAACAAAAAGACAACAAGTTGGGCAGAACTTACTCAAAATATATTATTTTGAAATAATTCAAACAATTACATTAATTGATGAAATGCGAAACCATTAAGGTAAGTACAAAAGTCGCCTCGAGGATCACCCAAACTGACTTGACACAAATCAAGATACAGATCTAATTTAAGGTTGTGGTCTTGAAGATTTTTACTAGTTGTTTATAGTATTGTGATTCAATTTTCAAAAATTGTACAATTTTTTCCAAGTACTAAAAATGCACTTGATGTTGATGGTGATGCACGGGTAGTTTTAAATACAAACAAGAAAGCAGAAGGAATCGAAAAATTCTTAAAAATCCAACATGCGAATAATTGTATATAGATATTAATATTAAACATTATGACATTGATATTTGAATTATAATTGCATGATTGTTGCTTTAAGCAAATATATATATATATATATATATATATATATATATATATATATATATAATTATGAAACTGATGCAAGATTAGTTTATTTTTAGTAACTATTTTAATAACTAAATTCATTAAAAATTATTAAATTTTAACAAGAAAATTACATACTTTATTTTCTTGTAAAGATAAAGGAATATCTGAAACAATTCTTAAAAATTTCTAATTTTAATATGAATTTATATGTTATATTTGCTTTGTTATTTATTTTAGTTTTAGTTTATTAGTTTTGTCTTTATTATTTATTGTTATAACTCACAATTTATACTCATTTACCGCATAGATCTCATTTACCCATATAATCACAAAATTTAAATTTAATATATCAAAATTGAAAAGGCTTACTACTGTGTAACCTTTTAGATCTAATATTTAATATTTCATATACAGATTGTAATTCAATAAAGAGAATAAAAAAAAAGAAAATATTTACTTTGCAAAATAAGTATATTAAGAATTATTGAACAAATAATGCAATTCTTTTTAATACAATATTTTCACAAAGAACACATACCTCATATTAAAAGAAAAAGTTATCAATTTTAGTAATAGAAATTATCAAAACAGCCTAACTAACTTATGAAAATTTAAACATTTCCTCTCAAAGTATTATTCATTTAATAAATTTGCAGTTTTTGAAACATTTAGGCACCAAGTTTAGTCCATTTATTATCTATTTGCTTAAGAAAGAAAATAATCTGGAAACGACAATTAGATGGAAAAATTACTAAAAAAATAAAAACTTAAAAGCAGGATCTGGGAATACGATTCTGAAGGAATAGAAACCTTAATATGTAAAAATGGGATCTAAAAAAATAAATTGTCGATGAATATGACAACTTTCTTATGTTTATTTCTGTGAAATATCATAGTACGTATAAAAAAATGTTTATTTTTATGTAGCATTATTTTTTAAGTATTTTGTTCCTAATGCGATTGCGCTTACAAGTCATCAGCATTCATTATTTATTTACAGTCAAATTTAGTAAATTCATTTACTTTTATCCTTATCCTGGAATAACATACAAAATTTGACAGTTTCATGAAGTTTTGCGATGATATTTAACTTTAATGTTTTAAAAAGTCGACCCAACGGTTGTCTAATAGATTTTTGATCTACATTTTTATTATTGCGATTAATCTAATGTTTATAATATATTTTTTAATTTTATGCAGCAATGCCTGGAAAGGACAATTTTCACTCGAAAATGCATTTCATATCTTGTATAAATGGATTCTTTATAGACATTTTGAAAATTCTGAGTATATCGAGTGTAATGGATCCTTTATAGAATTTTTGAAAATTTTGAATAAATTTTCCCACAGATGTCCATCTAAAGAACCGCCGCGTGCACAAACCTAACATTACCACGTGATAAAACGAATGCACACGTGGCTGCGCTTGTGTAGGTGCGCACACACTCGTCCCACGTATACGGGAAATATTATTATAACTAGATAAATTTATTGTTGAATGCGACGATGCACTTGTTTGCATGTATAATGTGTGAAATTCATATTATATACACTGTATTATATACATTTTCCTTTGTCAATAAGAGATACCGCAAATTAGATAGAGCGACTATTAGGGAAACATTTAGATAAAGTGATTTTTTTAAATTTATAGATAGGGGGGCAACGTGTCCTTTATTCACGATAATAATTTTCCTACAGATGACTTTCATATACGACCTTTACTTTAACTGTCTTGAAAAAATGAGATTTTTTTTATTAATTTAAACTTTGGAATCATAACCGTGATTAATATTTCTAGGACCACAATTGCCCCAGAAGCATTTGAATTGCATGTGAGTAAAATGTACTAGCATGTCATTTTTGGGTTTTTATTATTTGACTCGAAATTTTTCAATAATAAAATTATCAGGCATTTTACCATTCTACAATCCTGATTAAATCCGGCAATTTGTAATGAAACTTGCCAACACATTTCAGTACGTTTTTTTTTTTTTGAAAGAGGACCTCTCATAGTGACCGATGTTTAATTCATAGTTTCACAAAAAGTTATTATGACAGTGTTCTAGTAATTTTGTTTTTAATTTTTCTATAGATGGCTTTCATATACAACCTTTACCATTTGTTTGTAATTTTATATCAGGCGCCCAAACATTTTCCGGTTGCAGATTGAAGTATGCAAATGTCGAGAAGATGAGGCGTATGCACATTAAAATTAACGTCACATACAGTTTGCACATTATTTAATAATGTTATAATTACACTAGGTGTCTAGAATGATTTTCTTGATATGTTTTAAACCGGCTAGTTATTTAGAACAGAGCTTTCCAATTAGAAACTTGCACACAAAGTGACTCACAAAGTTTACTGGTGAAATAAGGTAAAGATAAAAATCATAAAATAGTATTAAATGTTATTTTACCAATAATTGAAGCTTGACAGAATAAATTTCGTTAAACCGAAAAAATTATATATAGCATTTCTTCAAGATTATTTTCAAAAGCAAGCACCAAAAAATCAGTAAAGATCATCTGCCTTTATCACTTCTGGCAAGGGCCTCATAATTTAGAATAATTTTGCATATCTTTCAAAGCGCTGAATAAATTTTGTTTATTGTACCAAACAAACCTGAAGAGCGTATCAAATTAAAGAAAATGAATGTTGCACAAACATTCTTGAAACCACTTGAAACATCAACCTTTTTTATGTTATGTGAAGTTCTAGGAACTCTTCCTAATAAATATTATTTAAAATAGTCTGAAATGTGATATACCATAGATCTATTTAAAACAAAAATTACTTGACAAGATAAACAGGTAAACACGAGTGCAAATATATTTGAACTATGAAACATAATATTCAAATTAGATACAACTATTAATTTCACTTATCGACATAAATAAGGCAACATCGATTATTCATAATAAACTTGATTCTACACGTGGAATTTATTGCACTATATTTTTATATTTATCTACATTTATGTTGTAATTAACTGAAAAAACGACCATAAAATGAATCTTAACATGTTAATAAAATGATTTATATTAATTATCCAATGATGTGTTATGCTAAAATTGAAATTTGAATTTGTGCCAGAAGTCAATAAAGTGAACTGGGAGATGATTATATATTACTATGTAGAAAATTAGACTGTTCCAATTTTAATTGATAATTGATTTTAATATAAAATGAACTACCTTGTTAAAATTAAACAATTTTGTATGGGTTTATAAATAAAACAGTCTGATTATTTAACCATGAAAATGTGTTAGCTAAGAGTTTTCGATAAAAGGGGGCATTCTGGACTAGAATTTTAAAAATATTCGATTCTTATTCAAAAATACGTGTATAAGAGAATTTTTGAAAATTTAAATTATTTTCGGAGATATAGCTGTTTGACCACGATAATCATCATCAGATTCCTTCTTCTGCAAAACCTTAAACTCGTTTTTCTAGAAACTGTAAGATATCCACGATTTCTCAACTTTTACTGGACCGATTTACTTAAAATTTCTACAGACTCTTCTTTATAGACTTCTCTTTGGGGATGAACTACTCTCATCCCCAAATTCGGACATTTACTATTTTTTTTAAAAATCGAGGATATAAAAAAATTAAAAAAAATTTGGGCTTACGCTATTTTGTGAAGAAAAGTTCTAACATGTCCAAATTCATTGTGACATTATACTAGATTAATAATTTATTTATATCTTTTTCTTCGGATTAATTTGAAAGACTAAAATCATGGGTATGGTCAGGTGCCAATATTTTGACCCCTCCTACTTATTCAACTTGAAGAATTGAAACTTTGACTATAATTAATTTTCATGGTTTTATTTTTATTCTCAAAATATTAATAAATAACTTGTAAAAAAATATACTTAATATATTGATTTTTACGGCCATTCAAAAATTGCATAAAACTCATACATCTAGACCAGAATACTCCACTTACGAATCGTTAAGTAATTTCATTTCATGTATCGTGTGTGTGTATGTTTATTGGGCAAAAGTATAATTTCCATCACAAATACGAATTTTGCTACCATTTTGATAAAACCAAATCAAGCTGAGGTTAAATTTATTACCAGAACAGGTGTTAGCATAAAATCCAATCACAACACTAGAAGCACTGTAACTACATAATTTGTATGCAATTATTCACATTTTATTTGTATGCAATTTTCACATAGTTGAACATAATTCAATTTATCATTACCAAATATGTATATAAATCACTATCTATTATGCGTAATATTGTGCGTATCGCGTAGAGTCTACGGGCCTACTGGTTGATATGTTTTTTCCAAAGTCGGATGGGAATCAAGTCAACAACAGATATTGTTGCGTCGACGCATTACACGCGCAGCAAATCGTAGTATTTTCACGCACAAGTACAAAAGTAAAGGAGCAACACAAGTCTCGCTTCATAATATTTGTTGGAACATTAATCATTGCCGCCGAGCATTCTACACGGCGGCGTCTAACGGCGTGATTTTGACGCGGCCCGCGGAAGCAGCCGCGCTATAGGTTGAACTCGGAGGCGGGCTTTGGGACGGAAACCTGGAGAAAGCTTTGGGGAAAAAACATCATTTTTATATACATACTAAAATGTATACATAATCATGATAGATGATATTGTGGATGTAATTAGCAGCAATAGCCTTCACCATCACTTAAAACTGGAATCACACCCAAACCACATAGTTTCAGTACTACTCGAGATCCCTAATTCTGGAAGACTGAAGAGGAAATTTCTATATGATTTATATTAATTTATTTAATTAACTAATTAGTTAACTGATCAATGGAACAGTTTTCTATTCTATTTTTATATTTATTATTATTATTTTTTTTTTTCTTTTTGTAATTTTCATGATTATTATTTCTATTTATTTGTTATTATTATTATAGTTAGTTATTTATTATTATTATTATTATTATTATTATTATTATTATTATTATTATTATTATTATTTGTTTTTTTCCTTTACTTCACATTATAGATTTGTTTAGATTATGTTCTCACTGTAGCTCATAGAATTACTTTTTTCTGATTGTTACATATAAATTTAATAAAAAAAAGATAGATGATAGAGATTTAATTCAAATATAAGATGTTATGAGATATTAAAAACTCAATTTCAAATTTTTGTTGTGGCGAGCACGCTCTCTTGGTGGCGTATTCGATCTACTTGGAATTTATGAAGAAGGTATATGTAGTTAATTTGAAATTAAATAAGAATTGTATTTGTTAAGTAGAATTTGAATAAGAATTGAGAAAAATAGGAATAACAAAATGCGAACAAGCTGAATTGTATTAGGAGTAAGAAGAAAAAATATTAGAACTTGCTGAGAATAAAAGAAGAATGAAGAAAAAATTGAATTGATTTGAATTGAAATGAATTGAAGGAAAAATTGAAGATAGAAGTTGAATAGAATTAGAAATTTAAAAAGATCAAAAACTGAAGAAAATAAGAACAAGAAAAATTAAGAATATAGAATATGATATATAATATATATATAGATTGAATATAATATAAAAATTAGAATAGATAAAATAGAATAAATAAAAATGTTATAGGTGGCTCAGAGTAAGCAAGGCCAAATAAAAAAAATAAAAAAAATATTTTTTTTTACTTTACTATAAAATTATTATATTCCGCAACGTGTTTGCAAAAAAAAGCATAGCAAATTCCTATAGGGTAAATACGAAAACACCGACATTATCTCAAAAAAGGTCATGTTTACATAAGTAGGTTATTTATTGCTTTACAGTAGATAACACAATACCACTTTAAAGTAGATAGTCCAATACTATTTACATTAAAGTAGATGACAAAAAAAAATAGGGAACTAGCTATCGCCTTTAATCTGATGGCGCTAGTACAATTTAAATGGCCACCTGTTCAATTTTTAAACGATATTTTAAATATTTTTGTTCGTTGTTAGTTTTTTTTTGGTTTTGAGCACTGTTGTTTAGTTTTCGATGCCTGAATACAATTTTTAAGAATACGTATCTTGAAAATTTAAACTATTTCTTTATATTTTACAAACTTAAAATTCTTATTTCGGTTTGATCTTTTCTATTAATTTGTTGTGTGATATCTGCATAATTGTATTGTATATCATTTATTATTATTATTATTTTACATACTATATTTACTGTCATTAAGTAAGTATTCCATGGTCAAAGGGCTTGACCAATGTTATATTCAAAAGTTTCTTTTATATAAGTTTTATAAAAGCTTACATGACTCTGGTGAGGTTGTGGTAAAAGGAACCAACTGAACATTTACACTGGCAAAAGCATAAATAATAAAAAAAAATTGTAAATAAAAATATAAATTAAGTTAAAAAAGACAATTTTACAAAAAATTCTATTAATTTAATAGTTGTTCCAGATCAGTGTGATCTTTGTAAAAAATGTGGACATGAAACTTATGTTTTACATTGGTTGTATGTAGGTGTTATTTCATAAAATCCATTTAAAAATAAAAATAAGACATTGGAGATTTTTTTGCATCCTTGCATCCCCTTTCACTCCGCCGAGGGACATATGCCAAATTTTAATAAAATAGAAAAAAATATTTATATAATTATGTAAATATTATCGATATTTGTTTGTTTGATACTTGTTATGTGTTTTGATGTAGTTTATTTGGATTAAGCAGTTCAGTTAATTAATTACTGAAATTCAAATTGAACCTTTGTTCATCATCCTGTCCTATTGGTACAAAGTAAATATGCTTTAAATGACTTTACTATAAAAAAATTATACTTTGTTCGTAATAAATGGCAAAGCAAGTCGTTATATTTTTCTTTTACTTCTGCTAACAAATAATCTGAATTTATTTTATTTATCGTTCAAGTACAATTAATAATATTATACGAGCCATAAGCTAATCCAAGGTCCGACATATAAATTTTGTAATTTATATTAAGTTTTAAATTAATTTTCTTTTTGCGTCCGTATAGGATAAAAAAACTACTACATATGTGAATATGCTTAACGTTAATATTTTGATGCTAATTGGCTTAAATAGTACATACATAATTAAACTGATTGATTGGCAAAATTGCAGCGTTTTCTCAAATTAGAAAGTACCTATGCATCAGTCTACAGATTAAATAATTTTTATCAAATAAGTTATCAATCCACTCTATATCTGTAATCTGAAATTAAGATTCCAGATATCAAATGCTGTAAGATTTACAATTTTATTTTACATAATCTACGAACACGTGACAATGTTGTAAAAGTTATCAATTGCGTTCACATAGGAAAAGATATATGTGACTACATATATGATTACATTCTCTTGCTCAAAGTAAATTATACATAAATCCGTTTGACAGAGATAGTTAAAACCAGAAATTTATATTCGAAGTTGATAGGATATGATAATTAAGAAAAGTTAGTACTAAGTCTATTTAAATCAGTAATTAACTTCTAATTTATTGTCAATGTCTATATGAAAACATTCTAATTCAGTAATTATTAAGTTTATAATAAAGTGAGAAATACAACATTTAATTTTATAACGTTCCTAAAAGCCAATAAAATTTATCCAGCTATCAATCTGGAGCAGGTTCGTGCTGAAGATTTGCATGAACATTCACAAAAAAGCAATTGATTTCTAAGCAGATTTATAAGTTTTTTTTTTTTTTTTTTTTTTTTTTTTTTTTTTTTTTTTTTTTTTTTTTTTTTTTTTTTTTTTTATGGCCTCGCTTACTCGAGCATTTAGCCACCTACATTATCTATACAGTATATACATCTTCAATTTATACTACTTCATATAATAGTAGACTTCGGAACGAAACTTCATTACTACACATCTTTAACCACTATTTCTCTTTCTTCTAATCTCAATTCGGTTCATCATTTTAAATTCTATTATCTAATTTTTTATTAACATACATATCTATTAGTACAATTCATAATTCTATTATTATTCAACTAGTTATATTTTTCAAATTCTGCCGGAGATTCGAACTCGGAACTCCAGCATGTGAATCGGGAACGCTACCTTGAGCTAATCCCGCCACGATTTATAAGTTAATTATGTAAATTGTTGCAGAAATGAACATTCATTTGATACAGTTTAATCTAGTTTCAAATGCCGTTTGAATAGAAAATTACATCATGCAAAATGTGCACATAGATTGAACTGAACTAATTTAGCGAAATTTGTAAACCGATAAGTTGTAACATTATCTTCATGTCTTTCAATTCAATTAGAAATGGTGAATTATTTATTTGGATTGTACGTAAATGATTATTTAATCTAAGGATTATGTACCAATGAATGATGGATAGAATGATTTAATAATAATCTAGATCAGTGATTCTCAAAGTGGTCCATATTGACCCCCAAGGGTCCACGGTAATAGATCTATATACTATACTATCTCATATAAAATATTTACAATAAGATTTATAAAGTAAAAACATATATATTTCTATAGATTCAAGAAAAAAAAATTGAAATCGGCCAAAGAAGAGGTCCATGGCAAAGTCCAAGGGGTCATAAGACAAAATAATTTGGGAACCTATGATCCAGTTGTTGAAACCAATTCAAATAAATTAGAATTTACTCAAAATATCGTTCTCGTCGGTGATAATGACAAAAATTTATTTTAGTAGCAGTGCATTATTAAAAACATAGTAAAACTTGTAAGTTTCTGATCAAACTTGTTGAACATTTGACACAGATTTTATACTACAAGCTAATCAGTAAAAGATACGAAAAAACTTTGTTCGGACAAAAGATGCAATTTCAAATTACGAATAAAATGATAAATAAATCGTTATATCTGTTCATATAATTTTCTTGAGATTTTCCAGTTTTCGTTGAATTTCACGAATGCAACTCGCCTGTAGGCCACACCGTTCGGAATTCGAAGTTGCGATATATGGGAAAAAAACGATGTATAATACTTTATATGTTTTCTTTACAGAAATATCGAATCGTGAAGAGTATTGCTCCAACCTAACCGCACTTTGCATTTTGACAAGTTAACATCTACACATATTGCTCTATAACATCAAAACCGTAAAAAATACGAAAAAACTTTGTTCGTACGAAAGATGCAGAATAAAATTATGAATAAAATGATATATGAATGGTTAAGTGTGTTCATATAATTTTCTCGAGATTTTCCAATTTTCCTGAAATTTTACGACGGCAACTCGCCTGTAGGCCACACCGTGCGGAATTCGAAGTTGCAATGTATGGGAAAAGAACTAAGAATTTTGAGACCGTTTTAACAATGTACAATATTTTATATGGTTTCTTAAGAGAAATATCAAATAGCGTGGATAATTGCTGGATCCTAATCGTACTTTGCATTTCAATATTTGAAAACATCTTGAGACGGATT